GGGGTAAACAGACTTTGGTGCTGGTTGGGTGCAGCATACTGAACTACTGCCACCCCGGGAGCAGTTGCCCCGAGCGACAACTCGCTATGTGCGGGCTGTGCAGGTGGCGATAGCTGCTGCGACGCAGACCCCCGACACGCCGCATCAGCATAAGATGTGTTGTAGAAAGGAGAGACCCTCTTCCGGGCTTCCTTGAATGATATATTTTCCTTGACTTTAAGAGTGATTATTTCTTTTTCTTTCTTCCAGTTAGAGCACGAACGCGAAAACGCGGCGTGTTCCCCGTCACAATTCACGCAGTGTGAGGCGTAGTAACATAGTTATCAGATGGGTGGCCGTGGCCACCACATCTTGCACAAGTTTTCTGACCCCGGCAGTTCTGCGAGCCATGACCACATCGTTGATATTTATAACACCGTCTTGTATTGGGAATGTAGAGACGGACAGAGAGTTTGATGTACCTGTGTCTATAGATGAAGGCAATGTGCTAGATGCGAAAGTGAGTATTAAATGTTTCGTAGGTATTTCTTTGTTGTCGCGTCTGATGACGATTCGTTTCACATTCGTGACATTTTGCTCTTTCCGCCCTTCAAGCAGTTCCTGTTCAGACATTTCAAGAAGGTCTGCTTCTGAAACAACTCCGCGTGAGGTGTTCATTAATCTATGAGGCGAAACAGATACTGGGATATTATAAAATGCTACAAGACTGCCAAGTTTTTCATAGTGATGTTTTTCAGGCCGCTCAAGGAGAAGGTCTCCGCTAGCCATCTTTGCAACCTTGTATCCTGGGCCAAAGACCTCAGTCAGAGATTTGGCAACAAGAAATGGAGATATGGCTCTGGCTTGTTTTGTTGGATTTTCGCAGTGCACAACATGGAATTTTGGAAAGCATTGTCTGGGTTGGCTGAAAACTGATATTTCATCGGTGCGTCTCTAGGAGACGATCTAGGAGACGGGGAAATGCAGGTGTTCCCATAGTAGTGTACTTTTTTTTCGGTAGCAATGACGAACACCTACCATGGAGTCCAACCAGGGGACGCTGAAGCACTTAATAGCATAAGGCTGCGGACGCCAGCCGTACATTGCCACTATAACCAAATATAACTACTCAAGGTTGAGTAACCACACAAGGTTAACCCTTGCCACCTGGAAAATTGGAAGTAAACAGAAGAGAGAAGTAGACAGGACAGACTGAAAGTGAGAGATAAAGACGAAGTTGTAGGGGAGAGAGATAGAAAAAGGTGACTGCCGATTTTCCCTGAGTGGGTCAGCCCAGGGGTGCCATCAACGTGAAGCCGGGACCAAAGGGGTGTGTTGCCTCTGCCGGGGGGCCTTAAAGGTTCAATCACCCAGCATCGGTTCAACCCCCAAGATCCCCTTTTTCCCGGACACGGCTCAGCCACGCACGGCTAGGCGTGGGAGGGAGCCAAAACTCCGCCATTAGCTCGGGTCCGTGATGTCGCTACACACCAAACGCCTATTAGCGCAGGCGCTCTGCGGGGGTAAATCATGACATTCATGACATACATGCCATAATTTTCTTGTTATGATTACTCAGTAATGGCCGTCATACAGTGGCATCATGCCATACCAATTCCAGTATCGATACCATAATAGAAATGGCCAGGAGAGCTAAATGTAGATGTTGTAGGCGGCTAGATAGATAGATAGATAGATAGATAGATAGATAGATAGATAGATAGATAGATAGATAGATAGATAGATAGATAGATAGATAGATAGATAGATAGATAGATAGATAGATAGATAGATAGATAGATAGATAGATAGATAGATAGATAGATAGATAGATAGATAGATAGATAGATAGATAGATAGATAGATAGATAGATAGATAGATAGATAGATAGATAGATAGATAGATAGATAGATAGATAGATAGATAGATAGATAGATAGATAGATAGATAGATAGATAGATAGATAGATAGATAGATAGATAGATAGATAGATAGATAGATAGATAGATAGATAGATAGATAGATAGATAGATAGATAGATAGATAGATAGATAGATAGATAGATAGATAGATAGATAGATAGATAGATAGATAGACAGACAGACAGACAGACAGACAGACAGACAGACAGGCAGGCAGGCAGGCAGGCAGGCAGGCAGGCAGGCAGGCAGGCAGGCAGGCAGGCAGGCAGGCATGCTCAAAATCACCGAAGTTCGCTAAGAAATGTTTCGCATTTAAAAGTTGCTCCGTGGAATGTATCTCGCGACAAAGCTGCTTCATATCTGTGAATGGAACTTATAAATACACTCTCAATCTGCCAATGGAACAGACTTGCTCCGTATGCAGCAAAATAAAGTGTTACCGGAAGTGCTCCAAATCTGTCAATGGATGATGCCGTGTTTTATGTCGATGTTCACCACAGTTCGGCTGACGTACTTTTCTCAGAGATATGACGTTGTGAAATGTACACTAAGAGACTACGAAGAAAAACTAGAAGAAAAGTTTTCGTAGCGATGCGTCGAACCAGCGATCTCGCGCTCTGCAGCGCCCGACGCAAACCAGTAAGTCACAACACGTACGTTGCCCAGCATGTTAACAGCGAGCCATTTATATACACCATGTACCTTTGGCGGTCCTCAGATCTATACCTCAGTACGTTTCGTCATCAGTAGCGAGATGACGCAAGGGCCGTGCGTCAGGCGCGCGCACGCTCTCAAGATGGTCGTGTTTCGCCACACCATAGACTTCTATATTTTTTTTGCCTGCCGATTGAGCGCGAAATGCCCGTCATCTATGGCGGCGCCACCTACGTAGGGTTAGTGTCTTTGTACTCGGCCTTTGAGATATGCAACTTTAGCGTTTGCTAATTTCAGAGGCTATGACGTATTGAAGGGGTATTGAAGGGGTCGCCTGCTGAATGAGTGCGAAACGCCTGTCATCTATGGCGGCTTCACTTATGTAAAGTTAATTAAAACTACGTTTGCGCGTTTTTAAACCTTCTTACGTTAATTTTGTCGCATATAAGCTCCAAAAACGTAAAAACGTATTCGAAGACAACCCTACTTAAGTGGCACCACTACGGCAGTTCTGACGACGGCCGCTTCTCAAATGACCGCCGATAATCCGGCAGGCAAGGGAAATTTAGAAGGCTGCATGTGGCCACACCAAAAAGGTTATAGAAAAACTGCTGAAGTGAAAGCCTTGGTGGACGCCCTCGCCACATACGTTATTGTTGACGCCATCGGTGACCACCCAATGGTGCTCCAAAAGGCTTTGTGGTGCAGAAAGATATGCCTATGCGGTGAGCACTACTTAGGCGCCATGGCTGGACACCACGGAACTTGTCATCTCACCGCTGTCGCTCCATCGTCCTCGTGCTCTTATTGCTATCACCGCTACAGTCCGCGTTCACTCTCTTTAGTCCTCCTTTGTTCCGCCGCATACAATGACACCAATGGCACTCAACGCACGAACTGACACCTAGGAGCTGCACGAATGCACGTTTTAGTGTTGGGGCAATGCCAACTGTGTTCTGGCTATCTGCACATGTATCAGTGTAGCATTCACAACATATTGCGACAGAAACTGCCAACGCTTGAGTTCTAACTATGTCTGCTGCAGGTGTCGTGAACCAAGCTGTACGATGTGCCGCCATGTACGATGCAACATGCAGACCCACGCTAGGCGAGCCTGCATCAGTGACTCCAAGACCGGTTGACCGAACGTATCTCCCTAGCTTTATTTGACCACACCATATATAGAGCGCATGGCACCCTCTACACAAGCGACACTCCGACTGGCCCGTTGCAACAAATGAGGACAGCCGAGAAGCACGTGTCATCTCTGCATGCACATGAGCTCCGAGCGAAGGGCCAGCGCGCGTGACGGTGAAAGAAAACGAGGTTAGAGAGGACAGTTGCTCGTGAGACCGACAGACTCCACGCTCGCTCCCTTTCGCCCTCATTCGTACTGGAGATAACACCGACGCTACTTAACGTAGGAAAGGGGCGCCGAACAGCTGTGTTGTAAAGCGCTCATTCGCAAAGACATTCTTTGTTAGACATTGATTAGAGGTGGGGCAAGAAAAGGGGGATGGGAGCCCCCAAATCATTCTAAGGGGGAGCCAGATACCTTATGGGTTGCCTCGGTCAAACATTTAACGTAATTTTTATTTTGTTGGGTTACGGCTACGGTTATTTTTGGCACTTGCGACTGACCCCGAATATGTTGCATTCAAAGCACCGTTTACTTCCCACTTGTACCACTGGCAGGTCTTTTTGAGAAGCACTTTGTTGAAGACAAGCTTGTTTGTTTTGTTTTTTTCGGACTTGACCAACTAGAAGGGGAAGGCGAGGCACTAAATCTGGCTCACCCTAATTGAGAACCCTATACGCACACCTGTAAATGACGTTGAAGTCCCACAACACGTGCGAAGTCTGATTAAGGTGTACGGCAAAGAACACTATGTAGTGAACAACAATCTATAGTCCTCTAATCATGCACATGTTTTTACCCACCGCCCCTATGAAAAAAAACGGTACTCACAGCGCTGTATAAGTACTATTTTTACAACATGCATCATTTCCAATGCGCCCATCTCTCTACCTTATTTCTGGGCAGAATACTGGAAAAGGTCGACCACGCTGAGCTTCCTCTTCAAGAACAGAACTCGATAACGTAATCGGGCCCCACTCGCATCGTCTCTCAAAGGTTTTTTGTGCTTCCCAATAAACGCTTTAACCATGCCGCTAGAAACAAACATCTGCGAATGTAACATTTGCCTATTCCAAACTATTCTAGAATTCCAACTACAATACTGCTGGAAACTACTCTTTCTGCGAAACGAGCTGTTTAACGCTGTGGCGTTAAAAATTTGTTACACGAGGACAATTTGTAGGGCTTTCTACAAGATCATTTGAAACCGCTGCGCAGAAGATGAACAGCACTACATTTTTTGAGGTCTCAATGAGTCACCATAGTGCATGGGAAAGTACTGTACAGTTTACGTAGATGTACTTACTCGTTAAGCTGAAGGGACACTGTTGACTTTTCATCCGTAGTAGCAGTTAAATTGAACACAACCGTTACGTTGACAGAAGCAACAGTTATGTAACCCGAGTACAGTGCTTTCATTGGGGGCGTTTCAAATTCAACGTTCACGTTAAGCAAACCAGCCCACGCAACATTTAAGTTCTTAATAGCGATGCCTTTCAGACCAGTCAGGGAACCACTGATTAGATGAAGTGAGTCAAATGGTCTCAATGTAATGTCTTCCTTTCCAAGAGCAAGTGGATCCCCCTGGTTGTTCCTGATGTAATACCTCAAGATCTTTGTAAGAAAGCCTTTCTTGCGGCCAAAGCCTGTAAAATGAGAAACAAATTTTATCTGGGTGATTGAAAATTAAAGCGAAAACGTTTATTACCATTTTAATGTTTTCTTTGCGAAGGTGATTTGCTGCTAAAATGGTGCTTAGATATTATAAATATCCTAATTTCTTGTCATGCAAACTAACTTGAGATTCTTCTGGACCTACGTAAGCGACAGTGTTCACTTTCCTGTTATTTTTATTTTAGACTTCATTCATAATATCTGAATGCTATAGAGCCAGACGCTCATAAACATGCTACGGTTTTCGTACTGTTACACCTCATACGGGTAAACTTTAATGAAATTCAATTTACGGTCAACCTGTCAATTGTTGTGGCAATATAGGTGAGCTGTGAAGCTGCTGACTTATAGAAATAATATCTTTCAAGCACATAAAGTAGATCTTGTAATGATGTAACATCCTTGAACTAGTCGCAGGACTGAAATTACGCAAAATCACGTTACATATAGTCCCATTACTAAGAATCACTTGACCGAAAACAACGTTAAAGCACAGAACAAATAGTCACGCGACTTAAAATCATGACTAAAAACCAAGTAACATTTACTCACGTCGCTAAATACCACTCGAACGTTTAGGCACGTGACAAAAATCAGGCAACACCTCACGATAACTAGTCACGTAATATGTCCCGCCGTAAATTGCGTAACAGGCAGCCACGTGACTTCTCTAGGCAAGTCATTTCACACTTATTATTACTAGGTAAAACTTAAAATCCCTGGCGAAACCTTGGCTTTATTAGCGAAACTTAGCTAGGTCGAACACAAGCTCCGCTGGTGAAACGCCTTGGGCCACCAGCGCAAGATGCGCACTTTTGTTTTTGTTTTCATTAGGTGTTCTAACATAGAATAAGCTGGTCAAGCGGGTCTCTTTACTGGCTTAGAACAAGTGATCAAGTGCACAATGAAAGATTCCACGCACACGATCTCGATTACCCGATTACATCCAGGCACAATGATTTTCATATTGAGTTGGAAAGATTGCGAACGCTTCGCCCCCTTGCGGAACGCAGATATCTCCGCACAAAGTCCATCCAAGACTTCAGAACAACCGAAAGAATGCAGAAGAAGATTCAGCATCACATGGACTAGTTGGTCTTTGAACGTTGGAGAACGTTTTGTAAGACATTAGACCCCCGCAAGCCTCTATCCCACATCTGGAGAGCAGTGCGTGGGCTTCGCTGCATTCCTAAACAGCGTTTCCTATTCAAGACGATGGCGCTTTTTCAAAAGTGGTGAAACACCGATGTCGCGAAAGACTTTTGCGGGAGGATAGCTGGCCAAGTTGTTCGTTCAGATTCTCTGGCTGTGACGCCCATCAATCCCCGTGACGGTTGCATGGTCCTTGCTTTAGCGATGGAGGGCTTGAAGCAGCATTAATTAGCCTTATGCAGGCGTTCTTCCTCACCAGGGCCAGATGGTATACCTTATCGAGCCCTGTGCAATCTGGGTGAGACTGCACAGGGAGAGCTTCTACGTGTGTTCAACGCATCCTGGCAAGAAGAAAGTGTCCCAGACAAATGGAAGTCAAGTCATCTTGTGCCACTTCTGGAGCCAGGTAAGTGCCTACAAACTTGCCTCATACCACTCTACGGCATTGGCCAGCTGCTTTGGAAAAATAATAGAACGGATGATTCTCACTGCCTTCGGTGGTATTTTCAACATTACAAGATTTATCCAAACTCCATGACTGGCTTTCGGCGGTAGGACCCATCTATCGACAATGTTATTGATCTCGTTACATACGTCCAGCAGCAGAAATCACGCAAGCTTTTGTCTGCCACCCTGTTTTTTACGTGAAAAGAGTATATTATAACGTGCTACACGAAGCCCTGTTCGATGCTCTAGAGCTGTTTGACCTTGGTGTTCGAGTTTTGTCATGGATCACCAGCTACTTGACATGGAGGTCCTAGCTTCAATCTACGATGGCCCAACCACACGACACTATACCAGCCAGGGCGTTTCCCAAGGGGGAGTCCTAAGCACCGTTCCTTGTAATCTCGCTCTCGTTGAACTTATCGTATACCTGAGAAGTGCGATCGCGACATCCATATACGCTGATCACATGTTTGTCAGGACATCAGCCGTCACACGCCCTCAGATACGAGATGTGGTTTCAAAAAGGTGCAAGTTTGACAACGAGTTACCTCACAAGCAAGGCCTCAAAATACGTCCGGTAAATGTGCATTAGTGGGATTTACACGTAAATTAATGACACACTATGCCGTTTTCATTGAAGGGCGGGCCATTTTTATGCACGAACCCACAAATTTATCGCTGTAACCATAGACAGGGACCTTCGTTGGAGCCCACATGTGTCTTACATGAAACAGCCCCTGGCAGCAATCACCCATGTGTGCAAGTTCCTGTGTGCCAAAACCTGGGGCATGTCAGTAGACTGAATGCTGGAACTGTACAGGCCACTTTGTCTCCTTTTTTTCATATTCTGACTGTACTGACTAATCCTAGCAAGACCAATGTTCGCACTCTGCAGGCTGTACCAACTCAGGCTCTCAGAGTCTGCCTTGGCTTGCCGAAATGCGCGCCGACTGAAGCGACTATTTACAATGCACGGGATCATCAAATACAAACGTGCATAGTGGCATTGTGGTGGAAGCCTTAAGAGCCTATCTAAAGCCTTTTTATGGAACTATTCCCACCACCTTGCAACACTGTCTTCAGAGAGACCACGGGCGTCCTATTGAGCAATGATATCTATGTTACCCACCTTTCGTCAGGCTACAGCACTGCATCTAAGCCAGAAATACCACCGTGCTGCTTCATTCGACATGAAGTGCACTTCATCGTACCCAGAAACAGAAAAAAAAATCTAATCTTTCATTACCAGTGCTGAAACAGCTATTCCTGATGCTTTTCAATGAGAAGTATGCCAATACACGATTATACTGACAAATCAACAAATCTGCAGTGTACGTCTGGAGCAGTGGTCGTCTCAGCAAAAGATATTACCTGCAGTATCAAAGACACACCACCCAACTTCATCGATGGCTGAAAACCTCGCTGCTCTTCGGGGTGCACTTCACGTAGTCAACCACGAATAGCCTCAACGTTGGTCAGTCTTCAGTAATTGTCCCCACTTGTAGACCTGCAATCTCTACAATCAGCCCTGCGGCAAGAACCATATAAACAGCTCGTCTTTGAGGTTTGTTATCTCCTCCATACAGCGTTTGAGAAAAGTCACCACGTCACATTTCAGTGACTGCCAAGTCACTGCGGCGTGATAGGCGATGAACACGCTGACAATGCTGATCGATCAGCGGCTTCAAGGCAATAGCTTTGAGACAACACTGTTATCAGGGAACGACGCTGCTATCCACCTTTAAGCGTCCGCACTGCAAATCGCTCTCTCCACTTGGAATACAAGTAGACGGCGCAATGAATTCCGCTACGGCCTGTACACCTTGCGTCAACAGACGTCTACTCGACTACGCCGAAATGATGCCACTGTACTTTGCCGTTTATGACCAAAAGTGTTTTTCGCGAAGTCATTTTCGTTTCGTATTTAAGTGAGAGACAACCCCTTCTGTGACAACTATGGTAGCGAGGAGACACTGCATCACATCTTCCGCGATTGTCCTAGCTACACTGCGCAGAGAAAATCACTTGAAGTCGTGCTATAGCTTGCGGAGATCGTGGACCGATGACGGCAGAAACCAATCTGGAATGTCCTCCAGAGTTTTCATCATGGGTGAAAGTGACGAAAGCCGTCCTCAGCTTTTCGAAGGCAACAGACTGGGACCGGTGGTTATAGACTAGTAGTGTTACGGTGACTGTGAAGTGCGACTTGGAGTGCACGAGCTTTCCCCTGTCTCTCTCCCTCCATCTTTCAAACTCCTTCATCACTGTTCCCAGTTTACAGCAGCATAGTGGTCGTTCTAAACCCGTTCACATCCCTGCCTTTCCTTTCCGTCTTGTTCCTTCCTTCCTTCAATAAGTAAGTTAATGACCTACACAGAAATGAGTTGTCTCAAGCATTATTTTTTGAGGGGTATCCCTTGCGGTCCCCATGTATTCAATTGTAACCATTAAACAAAACATGCGGGCGTTTTAAAAACCCATGAATTCACTTCAACCAGTCTTCAGATCAACTTTTTTATCAAAAAACACGCCAATTCGCCATTAGAAGCGACCCACGTATAACATATGAAAAATAATTCCTTTGACGTAACCGAGTGAGCGTACATTTTCTTCGATCCCCTTTACCGTACACACACTCCCTTTTGAGCGCCACCCCAACCTTCAATATCTGGTCCTTATGGGACTGAATTTTGTGATTACGGCCCCAGTTAAGTATACATGACACCCCTGGTATAGCCAGTGAATTGGAACAATCAGACAATAGGTAAAGCCACAAAACTGGTTTGATGTCGCTCAAGTGCTGGAGGTCACGTAAAGGCATGTTTACACTAGAGATACACGACCCTTATTTTGGCCTGCGGGCTGTCTTTAGGAGTGTCTTTTCTCTTGTCGTCGGCCTATGTACGCCGCCGACACGAACAGTCCGCCGGTGGTATCTCGAAGACCTCGCGCACGCCTTGTCGTGCTCACAGTCTTTTGTTGGTCAATTCTGTAGTCGCATTGGAGGCACACGCGGCGACACCGACTAATTTTGCACACCTGCACTTTGATTTCAGCCATGTTCTCTGCTATGCGATTGTCCTTCTCTGTCTACGCGGTGCAGCCCCCGCCATTATCTATGGTGACGAAGAATGGGGTGGAGAAGAAAAGATTTCGGTTGGGTGCTCTAGCTGTCTATTCAGATGGCCTAGAAGCCTCGGAGAGGGCAATGTTAACTCCCCCGAGATTGCCCGCTTCATGGTCGTTTGAAGCAAAAACAAGGAGCAAATTTTCACTCAGCCACAAATCTCCCGAAGACACGCCAACGCAGGTTTGTGGATGCGTTTCGCTGGTGTCTTTGGTCTGCCATCTTGTTACGATACGATGAAATGCTGTCTTTCGAGGTGTCGTCGTCAGCGTAGTGTGACCATGGGGTCTGGTGACTTCGTCGGTGGGCGGCTCGTCGGTCACTGGTTTGCGTCTGCCACGTGTATTCGTCGGGGTCATATCAGTGTCGTGTCTTTCTAGCATAAACGCGCCTCAATAAGTTGTTGATGCACGCTAAGGTGAGAGGCAGCCCTTTGCCTTAGCCCTGCTTCGCGATCTTAACCACGCCAGCTTTGCCACAACGAGTGTTTCAGATTAACGTTGCAAATGGGGATTCTTGGTCTGCATTATTTTTTATTACTACATAAAAGCACCAAGAAACAATACACAAGAAACGCGCCCGATGGCACACGCACAGGGCTGTGTGCGTCACGCATGCTTCTCCCGTTTCCTCACGCTGCCATAGTAACGCTTTGTCGTCGTCGGTTGTGAGAATAGGTCATGTGTGGCTAAGCTCACGGAATCATGCTGATTTATTTAGTAAGCTTACGCTTAGTGAAGAAATTGCAATCAGTAAAACTAAGCTCACTTAATAAAAAACTGCCGCAAGCGTAAGCTTCCGTTATCTGCGCCGCTGATTAGTTACTAGCTTGGCACATTTTGCAACCGCTGTCGACACATCCCGCTTGGGACACTGTCATGAGTAAGAGGGTGCGAGGCGCCTGCCAAACACTGCATGTGGCCATGGTCCCCGAGGCCCCGATGATGCGCATTTGCTGGAAGAAAGCTCTCGAGATAATCGTGACAGACGCAAGTGTGACTTGTTTCACAGTAACAGGGTGGTAATAAACAAAAATACCTTCACATGTCGAAAGTAAAGTTTTCATGGTAGATAACCCTCGCGGTCAACTGCTTCGGAGAATATGAAAATGCCTACATTTGGTACTTCGAAGCGAGGTCAAGCAAAACACATTGTAAAAGCACAGGCAAAATGTATAGATCGAAAACCAGAAAGTATTTACCTGCGTCGCTGCATTTGAAAGTGACTAGGAGAAATAGTGTGATCACTATCCCGTATGTTTTGTAGTTCATAGTTAGAGAACGTTTCTTAGAAACTCCCAAGTGTGTAAAAATATATTCTGGTGTTCGTTTTATGCATATACTCAGAGAAACAAAAGAATGTTTTATTTATTCAGTTTTGCGGTCTTCAATATATTTCGTAACGTCCATCTGTTCTCACTGATGTGACGCACCTGAGTGTCCTTTGGTTAGGCAATTATTATTCTCTTTTTTTTTCGTTGACACGACCCCTACTGTTAATGCAAAGCGGCGAAATTCAAGCCTATTGTAAAAACCTGAGTTCACGGCCAACCCCTTGGTAAGATAGCAAACAGCGCGTGTTCCATTGCACACAATAGGAACAACAACTGCCAGAATATAGAGAGTCACTCCGTGCAGACCGAGTATATAGGTATTGAATAGAGTAAACCCTTATGCTGCTCTACATACTTTTTCATATGTGCGTGAGCATTTGGCGACCATTACATGAAATAGGGTGGCTAAGCATTTGTGAAACATTTGCGAAACAAAATCTTCGTTGTTTATCAATCTGTCTACATATCCGGCTTACGTAGACTGCCAGCTGCTTGTTTCCCTCACTTTCGTTACAATCGTAATGTCTTTTAATCAGACAGCGATCGTAGTATCTCTGAAAGTGCTGCAGGAAGGCGAATGTTCATTAACCTCGGCATAAATTACTCAACATAACATTGTGTTTAGAAGTATTGGTGGTAGTAGTAGTAGTAGTAGTAGTAGTAGTAGCAGTAGTAGTAGTAGTAATTGACTTTCATTTTTGGCCACAAAGTAAAGGTTGAGCATTTCGTTCATCTGCGTAAACATTCGACGCTGTACTTCTTCGTCTTCGGCGCCAATCCAGTCGAGCCAGGTGGCGTTGGAAAGGGAAGGGAGATGGTAGACGCTGGATTGCCAAGCAGTTAGCAATGGAAAGAAAATCAGTGTGACAAGTCGGCATATGCATACATACCATGCGAAAGAAGAAAGCATCTTCACGTACCACCACTACCCAATAACATGCACCCCGAGTATAACAGAACACTCGAAAGGAAATAAAATAGGCTCTTCCACCACCGGACGCTGTCCTAAGTAGAAGCATTCATTATTGTGAGTTAAGAAAGAAACAAATCATCGGCCTGTACCATAAACATATAGCAGGCAATTTGAATTAGCCAAGAAAAACGAGCAGGGCACAACCAAGTGAAATTTTGCAGTAGAGTATGTACTCTCGGGTGGTATGGAAATTGCAACCGTGAGTAACGGCGGTGGTCGAAGGGCTGGCCACTCCGGTGATTAGAGCCGACCACGGGAAGCTGCGGAAGAATCGGCTATCACATCGGCAATGAATATTTCGCTAATCAAATTCTACAATCTGAGCGTTTATCTGAAGGCGAATATCGCTGGTAGCGCAAGCGATCTTGGTTTGCTTTTGATACCGAAAAATTGCAAAAATATTTGGGTGCCTGCACACTCTTCTCTTCTTGGCAACCAGGCGGCTCTAGCCGCGGCTCCAGGACGCCGATCCACTGAGACTACCCCTCTTGGCTCGAGAGGAAGTTGCATGGTTGCTTGCAAAGAAATTATTCCCCGTTATCGACTTTAAAGAGCCCGGTTCTGCTCCGGTACACTACTCGCTTAACAAGCAGCAATAGACTTAATGCGAAATTCACAGTATCATCTAGTTCGCCGGCACCATCTTGGTTATATCAAGCGGAGCAGACAACACCATGTGCGGCTGCTCAGAGCCTGTGTTTTTGCGTACTCCATCGTGAATGCGGCTACTGAACACGTGCCATTCTTCATTTTATTCATGGTGATCAAGATGCTACAACACTGCTCTGTTCCCTTTTGCAATCAATGTGGAGTGGCCGGTAGTGAAGGAAAAAGGTACGCCTGTTTGATATATGTGGCAAATCTATCGTTGATGTTCGCATCAATTCGGAGAAGCATTTGGCTAAGCAAAAGGTATTCAGCGAGATCAACCACCCAGTGCTTGTCAATGGAAAGGTGAAACTCCTTTTTATACGTTATAACTTCGTGCTATAGCATGGCAGCTCGCGCCGAGATTGCGTTTGTGCACTTTTCTTCAAACACAAGAGCGCGATTGGTACAACATTTTGTTGTTGTTATTGTTGTTTTTCCTTTAATCCCCTGCAATGCATTTCTTTCCAGGATTTGTTACCCCAGGAAAGCTCTATTTAATTCAGTTTCGGTGTGACAAACATGGTGCCTCACCACGTAGCCCTGTAATCAGGAGTGGATCATCCAGGGTTCAAAAGGTTCAAGTGAACCAGTCCCTTTGGTTTTAGAGCCTCCCCCCCCCCCCCCCAAAGGCCGAATAAATGACCGACTTCGTTGTTTCGTTCGAAAAAGTGTTACCCTCTTGCTGGATTCCCCTGATAGAACTAGATTATCTATTTCAATAATTAATATACATGCTTCTAAGCGATTGTCCGTTGCATAATGCGCATAATCTTGAAGTGAGCTCATAGTTGTGCAGTCTGTAGTAAAAATATTTTACTCGCCCAGGACGATGCTGCCTTAGAAGAGCCTAAATGTGTGTTGTATGAAATCAAAAGTATAGCTAGACGATTGGTAGCCTATTTACTGTAAGTAATAACTGTAACTAACTGTAAGTAATACCCCTGTCACACAGCAAACGTAATGCCTCTTACAATGAATGACGTTGGGCGGACCTAAGGTCATTTTACCTTCATGATGTCATACGACAAAAAACAAATGTCATTTTGAAATGATGATCATGACGTTAGCTATCCTGAGCCTTGAATTTTGGGAGAAATCTAAATATACTGAAACTTGCATGCAACATGCGTGTATCCTCAAAACAAAAATTATGGGTAAAAAGGTGCTTATAGATTATAAAGGTGGCTGTTTTACACAACTTGCCACAACTGCACGACACTTTCCAAAACCAACATGGCCGACGTTATGCGTGATCGAGCGTGAGTACAGTCAGCTGAAGTGGGGTGCACGACTGACTTCCAAATGTAGAAATGAGACAGCGGCAGTGATTTTGTGTAGTCACCACTTCGGTAACCAGAACACTTGCAATCAAACGATCAACATCCGCGATAAAGGTAACAACGACAAAAGAGCAAAAATCACACGAGTTCGGCATTCAGCCGCTGTAGTAGAGAATAGCTTTTTGTTTTAAAATTTTTGCGCGTGCTATTGTGTCTTCAAACAATTAGAAGTTGATCTAGTGAAAAACAAGATATTTATAAATGATAAAAATTACGTATAAGTAAGTTAACAGTCAACGTCTAAAATTACCTGGCGTCGAGGCTACTTATTCGGTCCAATATCGATTGTGAATATGTTTCAGGAACTTATTCGACCAAAAATGTCATTTTCATCAAATGACGTTAGTTTCCACGTGTGACAGCGAAAAAATGGCATTACAAACGAATTCTATTCGCTCTAATTGAAATTATACTTGCCGTGTGACAAGGGGTAGAAGGCCCACCTGTCAACTTTGGCAGGGCTCGCACGCAGGCAACCAAAGCATGCGCTACACAATCAGTGAAGCTGAAACAGATACATGAAGGTATTTCTCACAAAGGCGCCCCCTGCTTTTCGAGAGAATATGTCCTCTCTTGAAATAAGGGTTAACAACGCTATAGGTCAAGACGGATGGAAGAAACGCATGGTGCTTGGACTGCACTTCTGAGTGTCGTATGCGTTCCTTCTCATAATCTTAAAGTTTAGTTTTCTTTCAGTACGATCTAAGAAACCAGAAAAATCTTGATGCTGTCCATGTGTCTTCGTCTCCTTATATGGATTGTTCCGATGACAATCTTTCAACGTGCCCTGCAATAAAGAAAATGCCCAAGTGATTATAAACAATTCAGACAGGCTTGGAATAAATACGGCTTTTGTTCTTCGCGTATAAATCTGAAAAACGTCAAGTCTCAGGCATGACCAGATGAAAAAGCGGGAAAGAAAGTGTTCGGGCGAGGGGCCACCCTTTTTTTTTTTTGAACCGGGCCCTCCGCACTCTTTATCCAGTCCTGTCTCTGATTATTAAATGTGGTGTCGTTTGATGGCTTTAACGAGCAAGGATAAAAGAGGAGGATTGAAAGAGGAAGGACAGGGATGAGCAAGGATAAAAGAAAGCCAAATGCTCGAGTGTACGATGTCACGCCTACCGATGGCACTCCTGCGTGAATGGATGGATAAGCTCATTGGGTCCTTCGAAACGGACTTCAGTGCGCTGCGGGCCGCTCCCATGTAGGAACAGAAAGACCAAGTCTCTCTGCTGCATCGCGGGCCCGTTGGACTGCCCATAACTGTTCCAGTTAAGTGCTGGTACGAGGAGCCTCCCATTTAGACGGCGTGATGACTTCACCGCAGTGATGACATGAGCGAAATTACAAACACAGCTATGTTATTTCAGAAGAGCTTGTGCAGAGGCTTTGTCTGTGTCGTTCTTATCCGCCATCGTTTTGAACTGAACTGCACGGCTAAGTCATGCTTGTGATGTCCTGAAAGGTATGACACGGACCGGAAAAACAAGAAACAACATTTCTCGTTTCTTGTGTTGTTTCTCGTTTTCTGGCATCTGTCACACCTTTCAGCGCATCATAAGCATGAAAACATACCAACTTATCGATATTGCCGTCTTATTATCACTTTCTATGCCATTTATGGTGCTGTTTCACCGCTCTTGCATTACGTTAGCGTAACTCGTAGCACGTCAATAAAATTAAGTTCCCTCTCGTCGACTCAAGTGACGGTGCGTCGTGGGAGCCATCATTGAGCGGGTGTGCCAGCATGGGCGAGTGCAACCGAGCGCTATGCGCTTGTTTGTCAGGCCACTTCATTAGGATAAGGAAATGCATGAACAAAAGAATCATGCAAAGTTCACTGTCCATATACGAATACACTGTGACGCTTCACACAATCGCGGCATGCTCACATTTGTTTTTTTTTATCGCATTCTGGACGGGTTTATATGAGCAACTGCGACGTGGCACGTCCCTCGACAGATAGTACAGCTTCAGGCTGCCATTGTTCACGTAAGCG